TCTCACACAAGGAGCAGCGATGTCCACCTGGAGCCCACACACATGTACTCAGAGAACAGTTCTGATTGCACACTTGAACAAAGTCTTTACTGTTTTGTCACCTGTCTGGCTTTTCTTTTGAGCTTTAGGCGCAACTATCTAACCCATTGTACATAGCATGACTTGAATTTAGGTAAAAATCTTATCAGCATAACCAATTGTTCCTGCTCAGTGTTCCAAGCAGTTCTGCATTATGTCCCATTATATAAAGTATATCTAAAGACTTAGGTAAAAATTTTACTATTAACCCTGTCATCATTAGGAATGGTTCCTGCGAAGTATTCCAGTCAGCTCTGCTTTCCGCCCCATTGTACGTAATACATCTTGAAACTTAGATGAAATCTTATTACTCACCTTGTCAACATATCCATTCTTTCCCTTATACGTGAAAGAATTCAAATGCATCACTAATCTGAGTCTGTTAGTCATCATTTAGGTCTATATTGTGACTTCTAAGCTCCCTATAACACCAGAACAGAAACACACACACACACACACACACACACACACACACACAACCTGCCACTAGCAGAGCCATTGAGAAACCAATATAAAATTTCCCTCTTTCTTTTTTTGTTCTTTAGGGGGCATAGGAAGGATTAAAAAAAAATCTCTATTTCAAAAAGTCTAAAATTTAGAATTTTATGAAACACAGGCCATTTTAACCACAAAAGTGTGAAAGAGATTACTTCAGAAGAAAGAACAATATAAACTGAATCCATTGAACACTGTCACGCCACCGTTTTAGTTATTTATTCATTCTCTAACATTGCATCACTGACCAGAGCTCAGAAAACATGGTCATCCTTCTGCCTGTGACCAGATCGGACTTAAATGATGTCAAGGAGGGGCAGGGTCAGTTTATTTTAACGTCATTCTGTTCAACAAAACGCTACGGTTTCTTTTCTCATGCAGTCTCTAGCATCCTTTGTATTGACTTTCTGAAGTTTTAAACCAAATTCCATACACTCAGTGGAAGCTTGGTTTATTTCCTCAGTGGAGAAAACGATATATTTTCACTTTCTCTCCTAAAATGACCCACAGAAATGTTTAAAGAGTGCGAAGCACGCCCTTGGTCCTGACTTTCTGATGACGTCACACTTTCTCCCAGTCTGGATTTCCCGTCATTCTTTGTTCGGGAACACAAGTGCAGTTCCGGGCGCTGGGTGAGCACTTAGGCTTCGTGGGCTCACGGGACAGTGCGGTGACCCCGCAGGCCAGGGTCTCAAGATGTGTCCCAGCTTGCATCCTGCCTAAAGGAGACGGGACGCGGGCTAGGAGAGCACTGTGCTATACACAACATCAGCAGTGGTGGTAGAAGTGCAGATTCTTGGATCAGACTCAGACTACAGGGACCTACAGTGGCTTGCTGTGCGTGATGGGTATTCGCCACTTGGAAATTCCATTTGTGAAACTACAAAGTATGGATAACAGCCATTCTTACTTCAATGTATTTCTTCTGAGAAATAGCAAGTAGGTGAAACTTCAAGGACAGCACCCAGTGTGTGATAGTAGTTCAGGAAACATGTAATGTTTCTCTCCAGACACAGGAGGTAATCCCGACTCCTTGGTTTTATTTCCCCATTACCTCATGCAATAACTTTAAAACAGGTGCTTAATGAATTTCAATTGGTCACTTTAATATTAGGCTACTGGTATGTTAAACTATTAGACTTTCACTTTTTGTAGAGTATTGTGCTCCCAAATAGTTATTCAGTTATCACCAAAACCAAACGCTAGTATCACATTCCTATCACCTGTCTTTGACCATGAATAGAGCTGTTTCAAGATGGTGTCCTTTAAAGCTACCTGCAGCATCATAGCAGCAAAGGAGACCATCAGTAGGTGAGCTGTAGATGGTCTAAAGGTGTAAGTCAGGGATGCTTGTAATAGCTGGCTGTATAAAAGTTCCCCAACATTTTCAGTATTTTACTCACATCAAGAACTACAGGGACCAGGGATTTAGCTCAGCGGCCCAGCACCTGCCTGGCAAGTGCAAGGTCCTGAGTTCCATCCCTGGTACCAAAAAAAAAACCCTGCAAATTTTCACCTAATATGCCAAGGCATTCAGAGGAGGCATGATGACAAAGCACAAATAAGTGGGACCCGGGTTGGTTCATTCACATGACCACATACCAGGTCTGACTTGTTATTATCCATGGGGACAAGGATGCAGCCCTTGGCTTAGGCCGTGCCTTTAAGGGACTTACTCTGACATGCAGCAACTCCCACTGAACATTGTATCCCCAGAGTTTGCTTTTCTACTGTCATGTTTATTAGTGGGAAAGTTATATATTCAGGGTAGCAAAGCTAATTTCCAAATTCTGCTGCCTGGATTCCACTAATGCCCATGGGAGGTACTCAGGAGTGGCATTGTTTATTTATATCTGCCTCCAGATTAATTACAAATCACTACACAGGCGCAATATCCTTAAATTGGGGGACAAAGACAATAAGAAAAGTGGCAACTGATTGATTTCTCATATGCAAATCTTTGGGGGAAAAAACTTCATATACACTGTAAGTCAAGGTTTTAAGATCATGGTAGTTTCAAGTTAAAACACCTAGATAAAATAGAAAACAAAAACAACAACAATTAAGTACTTCTATCCAAAAATAAATGCAACCAAAGTAAGCGTTGCTTTTGCTTCCGGGTAAATCCAAATTTTGCTACTTGCTAGATGTGTGACCTTCAGCAAGAGGATGGTCTGAATCACTAAAATGGAAACAATTGTCCCGTGATATTGTTATACAGCCTGCTATGGGCCATTGTATGCAAAATGATTATCATAGGACCTGGCAAATAGTAGGCATACAATGAGAAGAAACTGGCTCATTATTATTATTGTCTTAGTATTACTATCAGCATCATTACTATCCACCCCTACACACACACACATACACACACACACACACACACACTCCAGAATGTTTGCGTGTCAGAATTGGGCTCTTGGTTGTTCGATACTGTGGTATTGAATTAAAGGAGATTTATAGATTTGCATGTAATTTATTTTAAGTGAAAAAGAATGAATATGAAAGGGACTGCAGCAGTATCAATGTACAGCTCTGTGTGTAAGTGTACATCTCCCTAGAAATTAAACTGTAAGTGACCACAGTCGTGTGAAAACATCGAGCACATTCCATGCCTTTGTTCACCGTGACCCCATACCTAAGGGAGCCGCTCGCTCACTTATTCCCTGCACTGCCACATGCTGTTTCTCATCCTCTGTCCTTCAGAACGGGCCCTGTTCCCACCTCTGATTCCTGGGCAAGCAGAGAGCACATCACACCTCTGGTGCTCTCTGCTCATTGTTTCGTTTGTGCATATAATTACACCAATTACACCACACATTTCAAAAGATCTCATTTATCATATTTGTTCACCCAAAAAACAGAATTTCGGGCTGCAAACAGGTAACATTTATTTGTTGTCATCTTTCGGACAAAAGCCAAGGGCTACAGAATGTATCATTTTACAAAAATCTTCAGAGGAAGCAGCGAGCGAACTTCTGAAAATTAGATCAGTGACTCAGGTAGAATTTCAGATAGTACTCTTGGTTTCCTGGAAGAAATAAGTTGCATAATTTGCTTCTCCACCACCTTCTTCGTGAAAAGTAATTACAGCAAACACGCAAGTCTGAAGCCATAAGCATCACAGCAATGCAGTCTTTTACACAGGGAACCAACCGGGGTGCCACCCCGGGAGAGGGTGGGATGGTTCCCTGAGTGAAGGCTTCAGTCTCTGGACTGCAGCTCACTCGCAGTGACCTCCAGGAACAGGGGAGTCCAGGCTCTTTAATAAGTATTCTAGAGAGTCAGGCTTTCCTGGAAAAAACAAATTAGCGTGAGGAGCCAGTGGCATGCAATTTCAGTTTTAAAAATAGCCATCATTGTTAAGCCTGCTGTGGGCTGGGGAGCAAAGGAAAGTCCTTGTTAATATTTGCTTCAGCTTCCCACACTGGAACACAGGAGCTAGTCGGATTCTTGCCTGGTGAACACTGAAAGGTTGTAGGATTTTTCTTGCTTGGAATCACTGTTTGGTCCTTCCCAGGACAGGATTTTAGGGGGAGCGGGGATTTGTCCCCTTTGGGTGAAGGGCAGCCCAGTGATGCTCTGCCTGGCTCCTTAGGGACAGAGCTGCCCTCCCTCTCTGTCGGCTCTTCCTTTGCCTCATTGCCGGGTGAGCCTGGCAGGGACAGTCCCTGCAGCCCTGTGGCTGTGCTGACTGCAGAGACCCTGCCTGGCACCGCCAGTCTGTGTCAGCATCCTGGGTTGCAATGAATGAAAAATCAATCGGCAGGACTGCAGTGGTAGCACGTACACCTGTACCTTCGTTCGTCCATCATTTTGTACTCGCCCCCTTAGACCCAAGCAGTGCTTAGGATGGTGAGTGAATCACAACCCACATGCTGTTGCTGCTTAATGGGCTTTTATTTTTCCCTCTTTTCAAGTCACAGCAAGTAATAACTGGCTCGGGAAACCACACACAAACTGAATGTTGATGTCAAGTTTCATGCAATTATCCTTCATTCGCCGTGCTGTAGGAGGCAGCTGTTTATTAGACCGAGTGATAGCCAGTGTATGGAGTTGCTTCCTTACTAACTTTACTCCAGATTCAGAGGGTTAATTTTTTAAAAGCTTAATATTTTTAAGAGCCTATGTCCTCCTCACATCTTTCTGGAACTTGTTGTCACTCTTTATGTCAAAATGAGAATGTTTGAAATTGCAGTTCTGCCCAGACAGAGTTAAGCACTATTTGGGCTCTGGCTGCCTAAAGGGAGCTGGAGTTGTTCAAAGCTGCTGTCTTCTGCTCTCAAAGAGCCACAGTAGCTTTCTGGACAGATCGGGTTAAATATTTGTTCAGACCTTTGTAGGATGATAAGGCGGTAAGAAGTTGAGCAGTGCAACACGCAGGGCTCCGGACCTCACGAGCCTCTCTCTCTGTGCTATGTCCACAGTGAAGAAGATTCTCACAGCTGGAAAGATGAAGAGCCTGCTTCTTCTGGTGCTGATTTCCATCTGCTGGGCCGATCATCACTTAGACAACTACACTCTGAACCATGACAGAGTTATTCACATCCAAGGTAAGAAAGCTGGTGCTCCCTCCGTTGAAAGTCGGATTAATTTCAAGTTTCCTGCAGTTGAGACACTAGGCTCATGTGTGCTCATGTTACTTCTGCTGTGTTAACTTCTTTCCCTTTCTGCTAATTGCTGAGCACAGGCCCTGGCTTTTGAGAGCTCTTGTGTTAGAAGAGAGTTAAGACTTGGGGACAACTGAAGTTGAACGGCTTAAGAATGTCCAACCGCAGTGAGTCTGTGCAGTCTAGTTTGGGGATTTTTAGTGCAGCTGCTGTCTTCAAGCAGAAGGCAGGGCATGAAGTTCATTGAAATGCACAGTGGAAGGAAGAAATAAGAAGTAAAACTTAGGGTGTCAGGTTATTCTGTTCCAGTAACTGTGCAGTCCTTAGGAGAAACAATGCAGAGTGTGAAAATCAGACAGGCTACACCTGGGAAAAGCAGCTTATCCTATCATAATCTCCCTCGGGAACGCTTCTCTCCTACAGACCAATATGCTGGCCCTGTGCACTTCTGTTCAGCTCAGCTGAGTCCTCAGCCCAGGAGCTGTAGCGAGACAGGAGGCTGCAGTGCAGTGCAGCCTTCTCCTCCGCCCAGCCCAGCTTAGGCAGGGATCACCCTGCATTAGGAAGGCTGAGAGACTCATGCAAGAAGAAAAGGCGATTCTCAGAGCTGTGCCTTCTCTCTTGCCCTTGCATGCTGAATAATTAAAATACAAATTACAGAACTGAACAGTTTAAACCCATGAGGGTATTCATTTTAGATAACCTCAGCTTGGAGGACCAAAGGCATTGTAAGTTTACTAAAGACATAAACCCTAAGTTGTGTCTTCAAGGTCAAAAGTGTAGGTGCAGAAACCTGCATTCGCGGTTGAAATGTGTGGCATGTGAAGGTCGAATGTTCGTGCAAACCTGGCTGTGAATATTTTCCTGTATGCAGTGTGATTACTGAGTAAACACGACTTTGAGTTTGCCTGTTTCTTGCTATTTTAAACACATCTCTTTCAGATTTCTCTGCTTCCAGTAGTTTTATTTTTTTACTGTTGAACCATGAAGAGAAATTATATAATCATAAATTGTGTGGTGCAAGCTGCTGACTCAGCTGTTCCTCAACGCGTGTAGTAAAACCTAAGCTATTTCGAAAGACTGGAAGGTGTTTATACATGGAGACAGTTGATGAAAAATAATATCATTCTACTTTCTAGCCATAGAATTCAATTCAGCCCAAATGGTAATACCGAATCATTAATAACAGCAGTTTTAAATCAAAGGTAAAATAAACTTTACATTTGTATAACTGTGGTTTCAAGTTATTAGTAGATACCCAAGTTAAATTATCAATTATGTACAAACCATTTAGCCTACATTGTACCCAGAGTATGAAAATATTATTTTTTTGAAAATATTATTTTTTAATATACTAACATTTTTTTAAAACTACTCCTATAAGTAAGATTAAAGTTTTCTCGGTGAGGAAAATTGCTGAGCTCATCTTCCATCCCCATCCTGGTTGTTGAAATGCAGTGTAAAGAGATTTCTGACCCAAGGTGTCAGAATTATCCAGATGATTTGCATATGCTGTCCATTTTTTTTTCAAATGCCTTGATAGTCCACTTCATTTTAATTGTAAATTCACATTCTTGGAAAGTGTAGGCTCGCCTTGGAAAGCTGTCAGAGCTTTCAAGTGAGAGAGCTGGAAAGGCTATATTTGCTGGTGCAGATTAATACTGATATATATATTTTTTCAGTGTATATATTGAGTTCTAGGTCACAGGATTTTGGGGGTGTGTCCATCAGGGTTAGGGTTTATATTAGAATATCTCCCAGTACCTGTTCTCTTTACTTTCCAGTAATTTTTTTTTTCCTTTTGCTGTTGTGAAAGGATTCAAATTGAACTTTCAAATTTCAGAGTCCTTCAGATAAACTGCTTCCATGTGGTTTGGGTGATTTCAGTTGCTTTTAAGATGCAAAAATAAAGTATGCAGTGCAGGAGAGAATCTAGAAAACAGAGCCTTCATTACTTTCTTGAAATACTAGGCTACTGTCTCACATCTAAAACATTTACTTATTATACATGGCCCAGAAGGAATTTAAGGGAGCTGAAATCCTCCCAAAATTTTATAAGAATTTGTATTCAGGTGATAAAATTAGCCATCTGAATCTCAAATTGCTGGATGGTATGAACTGCTCTGAAGTATAGAGAAGTACTCAACATTCACTTTATTGTAAAAACACCTTTGGAACCTTTCATTTTTCATTAAGTTTCTGCTTTTGTACTCTAAGGCCTCAAGGCATAAATGATATTGTGGAAATAGTGCATATCATCCTCAAATTCTCTTTGGCTGCTTTGATACAGATCCTCAACATTTTGATAATTCATTCTGGAGATTCACGTGTAAGAGTTACAGAATTACTTCTCTAAGAGCTCCCTCCTTTGTTATAGGAGATTCTACAGAGACATAGGAACACAACTATGTAATTTGGCTTTATAGAAGAAAGGAAGAGTGAGAGAGAGAGAGTCAGGTAGGCAGGAAAGCAAATGGTTTGTGTAGATCCCATGCAAAGTGTTTCTAGTGAAAAAATGTTTTTCTGAAATGAAAAAGAAAACTCTCCTAATTCCTCGTAGATATGAAATAAAATTTTACGTGTGCTAATTTATTCTTTAGTATTTTGCTGAGATAATTTGGTTACGTAAGAAAGTAAACTTCACATGTCCACAGTCTGATGGAAATATGCAACTGTGATGTTCGGTTAAGTGTTTTATGCTGTCCTCCGTGTAGGGGAAAGTGATGTTCTCAAGTGCTTCTGCCAAAGAGAAGCTCCCAGGGACACCGCTTCTGTAGTGCTCTGCATGGGTCACTGGCCTCACGTCAGGATGCGCCCTCGAGACCTTCACTTACTTGGAAACTTGACACCAGTAGGAAGGGTTTTGCACCGAGTACCAAATCACACAAAAGAACAGTAGTCTACATCTTTGAATCAGACCCAAACACTTCTTGTGTGTAGTTTCACTTGCTTTTCTTGTTGTAGACTTGGATTTGCGAGCAGAATTTCAGAAATGATGAGCATATACCTTCAAATACAACATCTGCAGAGAGGAAGGAATGTCTATGACCTTTGCCATAGGCAAAGTGAGTATAGTTGCACTGACCAAGTACCTGTTTGACCTTATCAAGATCAGAGAATTGGCGCTTCCTACACCTGGGGTTTAAACACATACCTTCCGATAAGTTTAAATCTTTCTCCTGCCCACCATTGTTTAGCCAAGGCCTTGGAAAGTTTACTTAATCTCTTCCTGGCTTAGTTATGTCACTTATAAAGTGGAGCTTCATCACTACACTTGCCGTAAAGCATTGTGAGAATGAAATGAGACAGTACATGTGAAAGTGCTTAGCACAGTACCCCTGTGCACAGTAAGCACCCAGAACATGACAGTCCATATCATTATGCTTCTCACTTCCTTATTCTTAAGGAAAACAGATTTTTAAATACACAATCGTCTGCAATCATAGGGGAAAAGTTTTCAAAATATATTTGTTGACACAGCCTTGTCTTACTTCAGTTCTAATAAATGTTTTATGTAGCCTCTTTTGTCTTCTTTAATTTCACAATTGAAAACTTCTCCAAGATTAAACATTATCTAATCACTATTACTTTCCTTGTAGAAACAAAAATGCATTCCAAACTTAAGCAATGTTTTCCTTTAATATTCTCAGTATGTGAGCACAGATAAACCAAATTTTTGTGAGCAATAGCAAGAGGAAATCTCAGAAATAAAAACTGTTCCAATTTTTTAGTAAGTAAAATTTATTATCACCTTTCTCAAAACATAAAACAACTTTCAAAGGGAGAATTTTCAGAAAGATATGTAATATAAATCTAGAACCGCAGGCGGAAGTGGACCCTGCCCGCTTATCATAGGCAGTTCTCTCTTCCTCTGTGAGTTGTGACCACCACCTCTAGTCCAGGTCAACCTGTGTGACTTGCTGTGACATCATATGCTGGATGTCACCTGTGTAACATGCTACATAGCAGTGCCTGGCACACAGTGAGTGCATAATATATGTTTGTTGAGTAAATGAGTGAGCAAGGGAATGGATGTGTTAAGACACTTCCCAAACCCCAGTGTCTTAGTGAGGACTCTTAAATGCTTGGGCACCCATGAGCATCATGTTGTGTGGGTGTAAGGACCTTCAGCTGGGTGTGTGCAGGAATCTGTAGTGTTGGCATAAACTCAGCAGTGGCTCCCAAAAGCTGAGATCATAACAGGACCTTAGTAAAGACCATCTAGATCAACATCTCATTGGGTAAATGAGGAAATCAAGGCCTTCAGCTGTGACATTGTTAGTCTCACATAGCTGATCAAATATGGTCTCTCTTGGTCAATGCCCTGTTTTTCAAATGTGTGGTCATCGCTCTCCTTTCTAAGAAAGCTTTCATGACTACTGCACTCCCCTCATCTCTGTCATCTTTTATTCTTTTGTCTTTCTCTCTGCAGCACTGGCTAAACTTGTATGTAATTGACTGTTGTCCATCAGGGACACACAGTAGCCCACAAACTCAGGGATCTGCATCTGACTAGCAGCCTGTGTGTTTCCCACATTGCGTGCAGTGCCTTACACGCCATAGGAACCACCGAGGTGGGAAGCAGTCATCTCCCTGATGCGCGTATGCAGCCTGGAAGAGCTCTAGGTTCACATCTGTTCACTGCAATGCTATCTGGTTCCTTATGCAATATCTGCAGAGTAGCGAGCTGGCAGTCCAGAATGGGTCCAAAGGGGGCAGAGTGAATTTAATAATGTCTGACCACAAACTGAGCCCCAGGGTTCAATGGGAGAACCACATGATGTTACTTGAGCTTAGGTTTTTCTCTCCCACACAAAGCTCATTTGAAATCCCTAGATCTGTTATAAAAAGTTAAATCAACCCCTTTTCTCTTTTTTGAAGCCAGAGCATGTTATTTGTAACCATAAATACAAATTCTACAAATACCAAAGAATAATCTACGA